TCACAGTTGCTAATGGTTAATTAAGTTAATTGAGTTCATAATGGTTAACAATTGTTAATCATGCGAAAGGAATCAAATTGTAATTTGCAAGCATATGATGTAACATGATGTAACCTGCTATAGGCCAGTAGTTAATGTGTTCATCTTTGGATCAATCTGTTAGGGCTGCTATGTTCGAGTCCCAGTTTGCCAATAAAACGGAAATTGTCTGGACCAGTGCAGACAAGTAAACCCCTAAAAGGAGTTTGGGCCAAAACCCATGATATGATATATGGAGATGAACGTCTATTTGTGTGCAAATGAATTATATAATGTTAACCAACGACTCATAAACCACCAGTTTTCTCACTGGCATTGGGGGGGATACCAAGTTTATAGATATTGATAATATAGTTTTATATTTTATACATATATATATATATATATCACTATGTTGGGAGTAACCTAAATACTTCTTCAGCTACCAGGCGGCTTTATTGCTGGGCCATTGCTGGTTGAATCAAGCAGTTTTGTGGCAAAAAAAAGACACATTTGAGCCATGAAAAATACCACTATTTATGGCTAGTAAATGGTGGTAATGGCTGAATAAACCCACTATGAAATACCCATTATATAATTGTATACCACTATTTTGGAAAAATACAAACTAGTCGATTCTCATTATACTAGTTGGTAATGGGTATGCCCATCATGAATTCATGAATTGTGAGTGACAATCCCTAATAAACAAGGCTATATATATATATAATATTCTGAACCATTACCTCAACCCATCAACAGTGGTCTTTTTCACGGTTCATTTGGGTCAATGAAATAAAAAATCCCCAACTCACCATTTGAAAATGGTGAACATGATGACAAACGGGTATGTCTGAAAATGGGGTATACCCCCAATTATAGCCATTTAGTAGGGATAATGATCATTAACCATTGGGTGTAGGGGTACACTATTTTCAGACAAACCCAAACCATGGAATTTTGGAAACTCTGCAAGGCACAGAATGAAGTTCACCGTCGCTATGACAGCGACGTGCGCCACTGTCATGGCCTTAAAACAGCAGAGGCGGGACAGCTGCGGTGCTGTGGTGAAGGGTAGGATTTAGAATTTCTTCATGGTAATGCTATGCAAAAAACCATAGTATTTGCAACTATAGTACCATAATATATCCAATCAATATCAGTTAGTTGAATAGTAATTACCAATACTATATTCCAGAATATAGTTGAAGTAACATAACCAGAATGTTTAGTTACTAACAACTAACTATCAACTATCAACTGCTTTTGTTGATGGATTACTATGGTAATATAGTTGACATAGTTATATAGTAATGAATAGTTGGTAGTTCAAGGAATATCCTGGTTTAATATTCCCAATATAGTTGACATATTATCATAGGAATATAGTTGGAATATTGTGTGAATATTATTTGAACATTATCGAAGGAATACAATGGAAATAATGTTGGGATACCATGGGAATATAGCTGGAATATGGTAATATAAATGGAGGAACATTGGAATCTAACGGGATATTTGGTAGGTCACATTTCTGTTTGCTGCAAATTGAAGAAACTGACCAGAATAAGATTTGTTTTTTCAGGTATCTGAAATTAGTAAATGTGGCGTATGTTGTTTCTTGGTCAGGACTAAACGTTCAGGGAATCCCTGGTTAATGGGAAATTCAACACCAGAAATGAATCTTACGAATGCAAAAACGGGGTACTGATTCACTTGATTCACCAGTGAAAAATGGTGATGTAACCTATAGCTGATGTGTTTTCCATTTGGCCAGGTTTTTCATGGCAGATCATTCCCAGCGAGCATCGTTTTGCGTAGGGATTGTCGATGACATGGCACCAACCAAAACCAGAGGATGGTGGAATTTGCTGCTGAACACCCTCTGGTAAACGTTTACAGTTTGCGAACTGGAAAATGGCCACAGAAATAGCGAGTTTTCCCACTAGACATGGTGATTTTCCATAGTTTTTTGCATGTTTACCGGAGGGTAATGTTCAGGCCAATCTTGCTCAAAAGCCAACTATATAAGGATTAAACCTCATCGTGACAAATGAACGACATATTCTAACGGTTTAAACTCAACAGATAGAATGAAGACCATTCCTTTCGTGCCAACCAAACTCCGCAAGCAAGAATAGCTACAAACTACAAAAAACAGGATCAACAATTTCACATATTAATAATATTTGATAAGATGTTTTAAGATTCAAACCATTCTTCCAAGCCGAAATCTTGCCAAGCTGCCATCTCTGCCGTTTTTTGCAGGTTAACCTTCGGGCCGGAAGAGGCGAAGCGCAAGGGGGGTATTTACATAACTGTTTGCCTGATTTAAAGGGCCATTTGGGACTACGTATGTTGTTCGGCAGCCATTTTTGTCATTTATTATCATTTCATGTCAAGTTGACTACTAGGTCTCCAAAAATTGATATTCTATCCACAAGTGCAGCCATTTTTGTCATTTCATGTTAAGTTGACTACTAGGTCTCCCTTTATGATATGAAACATCCACAATTTCAGACTCTATGGACCGTGTCTTTTGGCGGCCAACAGTGTGGTTTCCTTGACAAACCTACAGGATAAGGGGCCCCCGGGCACGTTGGATAGCGTGAAGCGTTGGTAAACATTTTTGTGGCTGAAAAAACCATGGTTTATGGTAGATATAACGAACTAGTATTCATGGGGATTATGTATCATGGTTTTTGTTAACCAACGTTCACATCACTGGGGCCAGAGGGGCCCATCCTGTACCAATATAGCCATAATGAGATTTGAAATTGCTATCATTGGATCTACCACCATACTCACCTTATCTGGTTTTACAGGTTGTACCGGGTTACCATTTCACTACCATTCAGTTATACAACCATTCGACAACCCATGGCCCGTCAATCTGTTCTGTGCTGCTTTGCAAATCCTTCAATGACAATGATATACCCGTTATTCCTACATATCCTCTTCAACTGATTCCACTTAAATCCAAAATCAAAAAGATGGTCAATAATCACTGGTTGGTGGTTAAATGTTAATTCAGTATAGTGGAATGATGGATTAATTTTAACTCATGTAAAAATTCTGACGTCAATGTGCAACCCAATGACATCCATTGACCATAAAAATGAAGATATCCACAGTATGCCAATGGTACACACTTTGTCATGGTTACCCGGTACCCCTTATTTTTTTATCAAATTACTAAAGGTTGGCCCATATTTTTTTTAAAGCCCAACCCAACATGTTCATGTAGCAGTATTAAGATCATCATTTGTCTCATATCGTGATTGCTGTACCCATTCACCCGTAGATATACCGATGATCATGATATATACATCATATCATCATAAATCCAACGGAAATTAGAGGTGTGAACCGTGAACCAGCAAAACTCAATTATAATTCAACATAATTCAACCATATATCATATATTAAAAAACAATTATAAATCAATTATAAATCAATTATAAATCAATTATAAATCAATTATAAATCAACTATCTATCTATCTATCTATCTATCTATCTATCTATATATATATATATCCATATTCACTGATCGTAAAAGTTAATTCGATCTAACTACCCGAACGGCAGAATCCCGAATTGGCAAGAACCGTAAAGGACATCCTGGCAGAGGGGCACAACTGGCTAATGCTCTGGTTATGACTAACAGTTTGCCATGGAAGCCATGGCCCATAGAAATAGATGCTTTACCGTTCTTAAAAATGGGTGGATCTTTCCATGGCGAACTGTTAGTCATAACCAGATGGTAATGCATTAACGCAGATCATGGAAGCAAGTTTTTTTCCGAGAAACATTGCGACAGGGCAGATCTTGCATAGATCTGGGTAAATTATAACGACCTCACTGTTCTCCCTCACTGGAATCATGGTTAATAAGAGGAATCATCCCAAAATGGCCGAACTATTCAGGTTAGTGACATATTTTAATTTACCCAGATCAATCCATGAATTTGTCTTGTTTACGGATATGGTATAATCCCATTGAAATAACCAGTTATGACTAATAGCCACGGCCATTTCACTGTACTTCAGCGAGGAATCGTTTGTGAAGATCCTCGGATGATCACAGCTGACTGTAGGGTATCATCCCAATGATGGAACTTACAACTATAATCCCAGTTACATTAGTTGCAATCCGTTTTTTTGCTTCATTATATTGTTATGTTATTATTCCATTAGATCCCCATATACCTCTGTAAATAACGGTGAAAACCCTCTATAAACGAAGGTTACCCTCCGGTAATCAAACGTGGCCAAGGACGATCCCCAAACGGAGGTTTTAATGGGAAAATCATCGATGAACGGGGGATGTTCTATTGCCATGTTTGATTGGCAGAGGGTAAATCCTCCTTATACATCTTATAATCACAACTTGGAGCCCCTGCCCTGGGGTCGTCTGGGTCACCTCGGCTAGGTTCCGGTTGAAGCAGCTTGGGGTCACAGGCGCGCAGCTCATCCGCAAGATGTCGTTCATGACTTGGACTTGGATGATTTGGGGTACCCCGATTCCAGGAAATTTCCATTTGACCAAGACAGAACTTACTATGTTTCTGGAAAGATGTTGGCTAAGAAACATCAGTCAAATGGTTTGTGAACATTTAACATCTGGAAATGTGTTGACCAAGAAAGATGTCAGGTGTCATGTTTATTGCCCAAGGAAAGTTGGAAACCTGTCAAGGTATTGATCCCAGGAAGAGTCTGTTTTATATTTGCAAAGCAAACTTTTCTGGGACAGATATTTTTTGTTGAAGAGGTGAGTATAAAGCCGGGGGTAATATAATATTATATAAATATATATGTCATTACTTCTAAGTCCATTTTCCGTTGCCTTCCCTGATCCCAACAAGAATTGTAACTTTTAACCAGTTTTAAGCTGGAAAAAAATGCAATTTCTAAGTTTTATACTTGAAGGATTATCCTACCAAGTTAGAAACTTTGAACAAAGGGCTTAGTTCACCAGTTTCTATGGTTACCAGCATGGGATGGTCAAATCCTTATTTCTTGATGGTGACATCACCCTGTTTTCCCAATTTCTGGTCAAAACCACCATTGCTGATGAGTTAAACCGGTGAAATGTTCATAAGACTTCATTCTAAACCACTATTAACCATTATATTCATGTAATTTCATTCATATTCCATGTATTTCTTTGGTTCACCATTTTCTATGCATGTTTGCCACGTACAAAACCACGTTGCCAGGAGCGTGGTCAGCACCGTGCACGGCCTGACCTTGCTGTTGGCCCTCGCAGCTATCAGCACGATGGCCATCGGCTTGGGTCCCGCCTCTCAGGGCTATCCAGTGGTGAACGGAGGGAGCGATTTGGAGCGATTAGGGTATTCATATTCCCTATTTTTCATGGGGAGCGAGCGATTTGGAGCTACCAAGAGTTTCCCAACCTCATTGCAATTTAGCAGCAGAATTCTTCTTAGTGTTTTGGGAAACATATGAGTGGAAGATTCATAGAATTCTTAGTTATTTTTTTGTGTTTTTTTTGGATATACTTCGAACATGTTTTTTTGGGGGGTGGGATAGTGACTTTAGGAAATAAACCGGCCAACATGTAAGAATCTGTGGAACTGAGCGAACCACAAATGAGGGATTCGCCAACCAGGAATGGGTGTGTAGATTTGGGTCTCTGGATGAATTTCTGGGTAAAATCCTTGATGCCGTGGTGCCCAAAGATCAGCTTGTTGTTGGTTTGTAAGTAGGCGAAGGGCCGTAGGGCTGGAGGAGAAACGACAATCCACACTTGGGTTTATGATTCAACGTTCTTATAGCAAACTGATGTTTTTTCCGCTAGGGGAACCCATGGGGATGTTTTTTCAGCCTGGCTGTTTGATGCACTGTTTTTTTCACTCAAGCAATAGACACAAGCAACCGTCCAAACTGATCTTCAGCAGAGGCACAAAAATGTGTGTCTGAAAATGCTGTATTTTGTATGACACAATGATGATCATGAAGAAATTTCATGAAGAAATTAGGGATACCATAGTTCATAGCCTATCTTCAGGCAAACTGGGTAACCCATAGTTCAACATATTTCAACCCATAGTTTGTTTGTTGCACGTTTGTTGCTCCATCCATAGATTACCCGCATTTTTTCAGTCATGAAACCTCGAAAACCTGATGGCTGAGGCATGTTTTACTACCAGGTGGTTACTTGGCTTGAAGCTACTGTGGTTCCCCAAAGGGTCCCAAAGGGTCCACCTTTGGATTTCATCGAAAATATGGCTGGGAACATCATCGATCTTCTGTAAATGGTGGATTTTGTAGCAAGCCACGTTTGACTACCGGAGGGTATATGTTTTGATCTGGGAATTGTTACACTTTGTACAGATTATGTGGGCTACTACGATGTGGTTTCTCTGGAATGGCCAGCCAGAGGAAAGTGCTGAAATGTTTGATTCACTTCTGACATTTTCTGACATCAGATACAGAATTTCATGAAAGTGCTGACATGTTTGGTTCACTTCTTCACATACCCAGATGATCCATGTATGGAATATTTACCTACATTTACCCCCAAAATAGCGAGAACATGTAGGTAAATATTCCAGCACCATGGAGCATATGGGATATATGAATGATGGCTTGGAATTACTCCTACAATGTGGTGTCCCCTAGTTATAAATTGGTTTATAAACCCCATGAATACTATAGTTATAGGTACCATAAACCATAATTATTGGAGTTATAAATGCACCAACTGTCCCGCAATTTCGTCGTTTGGGGGCCCCACGACTTGTAGGATTTCATTTTTCCAATTATATTTATCTTAAAATTATATACCCATTGATATTCCATTATTATACCCATTATATATATACCCATTATTATCATTGTCATTTATATATTTATATACATTATATACCCATTATTATCATCCATTATATATATATATACACCCATTATTATATCCATTAAAATTATATCTTAAAATTATATACCCATTATTATACCCATTACATATATAATATATAAATATATCAATTATTAATAGTCACTGTTTTTCCATCATTGTTCCATTTGTTTCGTCGCGGCCGTGACCTGGAGATGGAGGTTTCAGACGCAGAAGCCTTGCTGAAGACGCGCACGCGAAAATTCGGCGATTCCAACGCAGAAGGAGCGTGTTGCTTCGGCGGCCCGGGTGGTCCATGATCATCCACAATGGTACCCTCTGATAACCATTTAAGGATGGTTTGAACATGTTTAAAGAGGATCACAATTAGATATAAAATGAATTAAATGATATAAATAGTATACATGGATATTTATGGTTTATATAATGGTTTAATATCATAATGATGGTTGAATATATGTTTGGTATCATTTAATGATGGGATTTTTTTATGGGATAGCATTGCGGTTGATCGCCAGGCGGATCTGTCCAGCAAGCCATGTTTGATTGCCCGGAACGGGTATTTTTTAGTGGTGAAGAACTCGAAGAACTCAACCATTACCCTCTGGTGTTCACGTTTACAGTTTGCGAACTGGAAGCCATAGCCCAGTCGAAATAGTGGATTTACCCATTAAAAAAAGGTGATTTTCCAGTTCACAAACTGTTAGTTTACCAGAGGGTAATGTGATAAAGCCATGATTATTAGCAACAAAATGCATGGAAATCTCGTGGCGCTTTTGCGAGGGACTTCTTTGGGGAACGATGATGAACCATGGTGGATACCAAACTACGTGTCATGTCTGGAAAGTCATGTTGGAAACCTAATAATAGGCCTACCATGACTGGGGATGGTAAAAAAACTATGGTGATTTTGTGGGTTTGTGGCATCGGGTTTACCACATGAATAAAATGTGGCAATCAACTCCTATAGCTTTCGGCAGCATTTTTGGCACTGGGATCCAGTATGGAAACTGGTGCTTGTTTTGACCCAAACACGACAAAATGATAGGATTCAGCATAACCAAAGAAACCATGGCGATCTACAACCGGAAAACCCTGAAAGGAATAGCGCGCTGCATTAACGGCCGCATGCTCTGACCCTGAGCAGCGATGGCTATCCAAGCAGTGCCAGACTCTGCTCGGAATGAAGCGCAGAGTGCTTTCAGTGCATCTCTTTGCGTCATCCTCCAGAGCCACATGACATGGATGATCCACAGATATGTGCCTTCCGACGGTGCAAAGTCTAATTATCCTTCATGTTTTTTCCTGGTTCCTAAGGGTATCGAAGGCAGTGATAGCCATGAGACATGGTTCGAAAGAAGAGCTAGCCCCGAAACGGCCAGACCTTGCAGTGAAGTTATATGATCAGAATTCAGCCAGAGATCAACCAACAACAAGAAGGAAGGATGCGCTACAGAAGGTGGACTTTGTCCAGCCAAAAAAGTGAAAAAAGTGATGTATGGAGGAATATAGGGACATTGCCTAGAAGTTAGTTTCTGCTTGTGATTCTTACCATACATTGTCTATACCATGCAATCACTCACAACAATAGATCTACAACCGGAATACCCCGAAAGGAATAGCGCGCTGCATTAACGGCCGCATGCTCTGACCCTGAGCAGCGATGGCTATCCAAGCAGTGCCAGACTCTGCTCGGAATGAAGCGCAGAGTGCTTTCAGTGCATCTCTTTGCGTCATCCTCCAGAGCCACATGACATGGATGATCCACAGATATGTGCCTTCCGACGGTGCAAAGTCTAATTATCCTTCATGTTTTTTCCTGGTTCCTAAGGGTATCAAAGGAAGTGATAGCCATGAGACATGGTTCGAAAGAAGAGCTAGCCCCGAAACGGCCAGACCTTGCAGTGAAGTTATATGATCAGAATTCAGCCAGAGATGAACCAACAACAAGAAGGAAGGATGCGCTACAGAAGGTGGATTTTGTCCAACCAAAAAAGTGAAAAAAATGATGTATGGAGGAATATAGGGACATTGCCTGAAGTTCGTTTCTGCTTGTGATTCTTACCATACATTGTCTATACCATGCAATCACTCACAATAATAGATCTACAACCGGAATACCCCGAAAGGAATAGCGCGCTGCATTAACGGCCGCATGCTCTGACCCTGAGCAGCGATGGCTATCCAAGCAGTGCCAGACTCTGCCCGGAATGAAGCGCAGAGTGCTTTCAGTGCATCTCTTTGCGTCATCCTCCAGAGCCACATGACATGGATGATCCACAGATATGTGCATTCCGACGGTGCAAAGTCTAATTATCCTTCATGTTTTTTCCTGGTTCCTAAGGGTATCGAAGGAAGTGATAGCCATGAGACATGGTTCGAAAGAAGAGCTAGCCCCGAAACGGCCAGACCTTGCAGTGAAGTTATATGATCAGAATTCAGCCAGAGATGAACCAACAACAAGAAGGAAGGATGCGCTACAGAAGGTGGATTTTGTCCAACCAAAAAAGTGAAAAAAAAGTGATGTATGGAGGAAAAATGGGCTCATTGCCTAGAAGTTAGTGCAGAAGTTAGTTTTTGCTTGTCATCCTTACCATAAATTGTCTATACCATGCAATCACTCACAATAATAGATCTACAACCGGAATACCCCGAAAGGAATAGCGCGCTGCATTAACGGCCGCATGCTCTGACCCTGAGCAGCGATGGCTATCCAAGCAGTGCCAGACTCTGCTCGGAATGAAGCGCAGAGTGCTTTCAGTGCATCTCTTTGCGTCATCCTCCAGAGCCACATTTCATGGATATGCCAGGGTTTGCCAGGTGGTTTACATGTTTTTTCCAGCAGGAAATGCACCATTTGAAGAATCTATGGAGAATAATTATGTTGCTGTACATTTTTTGGTGCAATCTCAATCAAGTCCATGCATGTTTTGATAACTTGTCAAAGGGTTCTGGGCAAGTACCATAATTGATGTGGAAAAGAAGCTAATTGCAGGAAAACCGCAAATTGATGAAAATTGAAGTTTAGGACAACAAACAGCAGAAACACCAGAATGGTGGTCTTGAGACAATCGATCAATGTATCAGGAAAATCATTTTCATGGGTTTATTTCCTCATAAAATATCAATTTCCCAGTAAACTGGCTAGAAGACCATATTTCTATAAACTGACTGTCATTCTTCCCCTTGGTCAACTGCCCCAGGGACAAAAATACCACATGTCCTGTCACGAAAAAAACAAAATTTGCGTGGACTTGACTCAGGTTGCGATGCAACCTATGGCAACTTGGGCAAGGTTGACTTGGGGATGAGTCCAACTGATATTAATGTGATGAGTTGAATTACAGCTCGGTGTTTATTCATGCGGCGAATTCCAAGGTTTGTTCTCGATATAATCCATTATTATTCTAGGTTTAATTGATTATTCTAGGTTTATTCATGTATGGAGGTTTTGTTCCTATAATCCATTAAGAACCAAGGTTTGTTAATAAGGTTTATCAATTTGCTTGGCGCCTTATAATCCAACAAGTTGGCCTGGTTGGTTCGCACATTGAAAAAGAAGTCACAAACAGATGGGGAAAACATAAGCAAACCCGAAGCGGGAAAAACATGGTGAAAGGAGGTTGAACATTCCCTTGCAGATGCCAGTTTTCCAGAGCATCCATGGGTTTCCAGTGACATCCATAGATGTACTGTGAGTATACTGATATTATAACAAGTACCATCCGGTGTCATCAAACATGGCTTACTGGAAAATCTCCCAGCCATTTGGTTCGATGATTTTTCGCGAAGCAAACCAGGCTTTTTTCTGTCCATGAGGAGCTCGGTTGTCAGACAGGAGATCAGTATGTCAAGTAATGTGGAAGATCAGACTACACAAAAAAAGTGTTTCTCCAGTTAGTATAGCATTATAAATGCATTGTATAGAAAATCCCAAAGGAAAGCTTCGAAACTGGCATCCGAAAAGGTTGGTGCTGACCAGAAAGGTTAAAGTTTATAATCCCTTTTTGCAGATATCTCTAGAATAAAGCCTGGTGAAATTGGAGTTATATGGAGTTATGTAGATCCCAACTTGGCCACGTAGCAAGCAAATTGGGTCCCACCAGAACTTGATTCTTGGTTTATAGGCTTAGTTATATCGTTATATCCCATTATTATTCCATTATATATTTATATATTCCATTAAACCTTATTAAATCCCATTCGTATTCCATGAATCTGGGTAAATTACAACGACCTCACTGTTCTCCCGAACCCTGGAATCATGGTTCATAAGGGAAATCATCCCCAAATGGCCGAACTATTCAGGTTGGTGAATTAATATAAATTACCCTCTGGTAAATTAACTTGTTGACCCTGGCAGTCATGGGGGTTGGAAGATGAGTGAAACCACTAAGAATTGGTCATGTTCAGGGTCCAACTGTTAATTTGCCATAGGGTAAACGTTTACAGTTTGCGACATAGAAAATGACCCATAGAAATAGTTGTTTTACCCATGAAAATAATGGTGATTTTCCAGTTCGCTATTCCATGAATCTATTCCTGTAAATCCCTTGAACTCCCCCATCTTTTCCAAGGTGGGGCCTTGTTGGACCCTTCGCAGGCGATGGACCAAAGTTCAAGCAATTTTTCCAGCAGCTGATAGTGGTTAATAATAGTGTTGATAATGGGATAATCTATATTAATAGTGGTTAATAGTGGTTAATAGTCGTTAATCATGATAATCAATAATGAACTGGCTATGGATCAATACCTATGAAAATACCATTTTTAGGTGGTTATTCACATCCATTTTAACCCAGCTATTTTGATGTGAACAGAAGGGGTACTATTGGTTTTGACACACTTCCATATTACAAGATATCTCCAAAAAAATATGAATCACTATTCTATGATTATAATATGTTTATGAATTATTAGTACTATAGATTCAAAACATATATGAATAAGAGGAATCATCCCAAAATGGCCTAACTATTCAGGTTAGTGAAATATTCTAATTTACCCAGATTCATACCTACTGTAAATACTTTGCTATCATATCTCCACTCATTGGTTTCTGTCGAAACATCTGAGCCTTGGCTGGGCATCTCTTGCAGATGCCAAACAAAATCCAGAGACTGGTTGCCTGGTCAAGTTTGCAAGTATTTTTGGCATCACATGCAGCAAAAAACAAAGGGATTTCACAATTTTCTCTTAGCAGTTGAGCACATGGTGGAGTAGTGATGAAGCGATTGTAGCAGGCCATTAACAAAAAATGATAGAACATGATAGAACCATCATTTACCAGCTATAATCTATCACTATACTTTAGATTCGATTTTACTTTTTCTGCATGTTTTTTTGTGACTATCCTTGGGGAGGCCAAGTTCAAGGGCAAGCTGAAGGACTGCGTAAACAATGGGCCTGGCACTTGGTTTTCGCCGTCGGGGTGATTTTGGGAATGGGAATCCGATGGCTTTCTTGAGGGATTTATGGTGATGACTATGGGATAGTGAATCATGGTCCGAGTTATACCAGTTATAAGTACTTAGATATGTCACCCCATAGAAATAACATGTTTTTTATCCCACAGAAATAACCAGTTATAACTTTCATAAATGACCATAACTGTAGCGAATCATCAACTTGAGATTAGGGAGTTTTGTTCCCCAAATGTCTCGATGCTGGGGAACATTATGATCATTTCATTATCCTTGATATCAGTGATTCTCAATCTTTCATGACCATACATGTCCATTAAATGTATTCAAAACTATGATGATGTCCATTATATGGATTTAGGGGTACATTATTTTCAGACAATCCCTTGAATTTGGATGATGGGTTCCTGCAAATTATCCCAATCAAACCCGTCCGTGCAGAAAAATATACAGGGTCTTTGCCAAAATCACAGGTTGTAACTGAAACAAACTCACTTTATTGTACCCTCTGGTAATTTGTTACATAGCTATTGAAAATGGCCCAGTCGAAATAGTTGATTTAGCCACTAATAGCATGGTGGATCTTTCCATAGTTTTTTGTATGTTTACCAGAGGGTAACCCAAAGAAAGCTGGTATAAACTGATGGAGCCTTTGATGGAGACACGAGGCTCACTCAACCGCGCACCATTTTGGTGGCAGCATGAGGCCAACTCGCCGTGATGGGAATAGCATGGCATGGGGTTAACCATGAAAAGTAGGGGGAGTTACCAACTGTAGAGGTATATCAATGAACATACTCAGATCTTCCATGTATGAAGAATATCTACCAACATTTACCCCAAAAATCAGCCAGTGATGTGGGTAAATATAGCAGCACCATGGAGCATATGGGAGAGATAATCACAGGGTCCATTTTGGCCAACTTTGTGGCCCATGGTTGTAGGTTTTCCCTCTCGTGGCTGATGGAGTATAGAGTATAGTAAAGCCCAAAAAAGATCCAGAATGGTAATTCAATGATGGTTTAAAAGGATGTTTTCCCCCATCATTTCCAGCGAAAACCAGTCCTTTTCAGTTTTTTTTTTGGCTAAGTAAACCACCCAAAAAAAATCACAACACGGCTTGGATGCACATTCTTAGAACGGGGCATTCATTGGATATCGATGGATATTGGATATCCCAGAAATGGGCAGTAATTTTGTGAAATCTCCACCATGGGCAGATGGCTTGTGATCAAACTCTGTTCATTTCATGGTCAAAGTTGAACAAAAATAATATACCCTCTGGTTATGACTAACATAGCCATGGAAGCCATGGCCCTTTTAAAGATGATTTTCCCAGCTAGATACCTTCATTTATTTTGGGGATTTTCCATGGCTATGTTAGTCATAACCAGGTGGTACTGTGGATAAAACAATGCCAAAAACGCACCACCCATGTTCCTGGGAATGGTTTATATATACCACCACCTATAAAAATGGTGATTTTCTTGCGGGATGGTAAACATGACAGCCAGTTTTACCATTATCCAGAAGGGGACGGTCATCCCCCGGCGATGAAAATAGACCGAGAATCGGTACCTCCAAATTCCATCGCTTCCTCAAAAGGCAAAAAAGGCAATTGATGGGGTAACTTTTACTATTTATTATAGTATAGAATAGTATGTGCTTGACACTGGAATGCCAACTGCAGAATGAAAATGAACATATAATAGTATAGTATAGTCCCCGGTGTCACTCTAAGCCTTAAAGGCGCCCCAGATGCTGAGCCGCTTCGCCTGATAGCCTCGCATAGCCAGATCTTCGCTCATCGGGAAGTGAAAAGAGTGCTTCATCTGTTTCATCTGATGCAGATGTGGTTGGTTTGTGGACAATACTGGTGTGTCGCTGGTTTCATGTTTTTGGAATTGCTATTGTGTTTTCATGTTTCTGGATTTTTCGTTTTTTTTGGAGGGGGATGATTTCCAAACAAAACCGGAAAAAAGTAGGATGCACCCCGCAAGAAAGAGTGATTTTCATCATATCTCATCAACAAGGAAGGTGATTTTGTGGATTCCAAACGGCCATGGACATTCCAGGTGGGATATCTTCAATTCCATTGGTCAAGTCAGTGTAATCCTAATGCAGCTTGGGTTGTCAGTGATACCGCGCCCAAGTAACTGAAAAACCTAGGGCCTGGCGGCCAGTTTTGGTGCTGTTTCCATGCGTGTTCCTAGCATATCCGGGGATTTTATGATATTTTATGGAGGAGTGTTTCAAATATCCCAGTGATATTCTGGTTGGTGGTTAATATATGGGATAATCCTTCCCATTGACAAATATTTTTCAAGATGGCTCAAACCACCAACCAGTATTGTTTTTGCCAGGTCCTGAAACTGTTTTAAGAATATCCACGTGTATTATTGGAAGTGGTTGCTATTAGGTTGATAGAACTCTTATCCCAAAAAGCATCCTAATGCTCCATGCCCAGAATATTGCCCTTTCGTAATTTAACATAGCTATTGAACATTGCCATTTATAGTTGATTTACGTAGTAAAAGTGGTGCTTTTCCATAGCCATGTTACTTTAAGAGAGGATAACCAACATTGTAACCAAAAATTACCCAGGCAGGTAAATACGGGTTGGTTTGAACATAAAGTAGCCCCAAATTTCATGGCTCATCATAATGTTTCCCGATGAAAGTTGCCATTTCGGGGTATACCCCCATTCGCAAACATACCCAAATATCATATCAAGTTGATTATAGTCATCCCATATGCTCCGTGTAAGGAATATCTACCTACATTTGAGCTATTTTGGGAGTAAATGTAGGTAAATATTCCATACATGGAGCATATGGGTTATAATTAATTATGGTCATTATAAATCCCCAAAAAGATACCGTTCCCTCAACAATGTTTGTTTCTCGGTGTACCATCTCGCATCTCGTTGCCCTTCATCTGGTCAACCTGTAGCCATCTTTGGGTACAAAACCTGCGACTCTGGCGATGTCGATCACTTTCCTTGATAGTGATGAATGTGTTTTCGAATACACAAAAGTGGGTCATGTTTTTTAAATCAGATCCATGTGTTTTTCTACAGATCCATCTGGAAATTACATGGAAATTACCTAAAACCGACCAAAAACTATGTCAATGTCTCAGATTGATACAATGTGGGGCCCCCCAGTGATGTTAGATGGTTTATAAACCCATTAACTATAGTTACTATAGTTATAGGTACCATAAACCACTTTGTACACAACTTCTCATCACACCAGGACCATCACCAGGTTTTGTGCCGTCGTCCCGGTCGTCCCTCGTCCCTTGGGCCCCCGTGGTCGCGGCTCGGCGCCTCGTCATGGAGTCGTGGCTGGACCTGGAGTCCGATGGAGAACTGGAGGCCTGGTGAGTGTCGAGACCTTTGTTGGGCCATGGCGACTCAGAAATTTCGTGAGTTTTCCCATGAAAAATGGTGATTTTCCCATGAAAAATGGTGATTTTCCATCGTTTTTTCGATGTTTACCTATTGGGTATGATGATTTATGATGATATTAGCCTCTGGTTATGACTAACAGTTTGCCATGGTTAAGCCATGGCCCATACTGTAGAAAGTTCGATGATTTTCCCAACTATAAACATTAAAACCTTCATTTATTTTGGGGATTTTCCAGTTCGCTATGTTGGTCATAACCAGATGGTAGTTATCGCTATCAAGGGAAAACTCTAAGAAAGTACCAGCAGATACAGGGAACTGGCCATGGCTATTAGTTGTAAGTGGTTATAAGTGGTTAGTTGTAAGTGGTTATAACATGTTATAGATCATAAATGGGATAAACAAACATATATCTTATAAATGGAGTGACTTGTTACTTATAACTGGTATTTCGGGCCATAACTGTAGAGCTACCAAAAAAATCAGGTTCGTGATATATTATAATTTACCCAGGTACATTGTTTGTTTTTTAATCATGCATGAACTGGGAATATCCTCTTCTAAACCAACGTTTCAGGGGCATGGGATGTTTACCATCTGGGATAAACCATCTATATACCATCTAGTAACCATATATATATATCTATACCATCTATCAACTAGTGATTTGGATTTCGCTGGCCCATCCACAGTATCGATGTTTCCCGTTTTTTTTTTAAGTGAAGGAAAATTCGAGGCCACCGCGCGCAGCTCGCAGGAACACGTGGAACCCAAATTCGGTGCGGAAAATTCCCAGGACACCGGCCCGAAGTGTCACAGCAGGTTGGCCCTGCGGAATGTTTGTCAAGGCATCGATTTTATCAACATATTTTATGAACATATATCATATATCAATGTTTTTGGCATCTGGAAAATGTGAAAATACATTAAAATATCAATATATGAAAGTATTTTCAATATTCAAGTGATGTAAGCTGTATGTACTAAGATTTCAGTTGTTTCTTTCGGAGGTCTTTGAATGTCTTTTACTCTGTCGCCGTCATGAAAGGCTCCAGGGTTTGCGGATTTTGCGGGGTGTGGTGCCATGGCTGAATCCTCATTGTTGTTGGTGAACGTCCATCCATTTCGGAGAAACCAACCAAAAAGATGTCGGATACGCCGGAGAATCTCCAGTTCAACTATGTGTTTGTCTTATTTGGGGTTCATATCATGTGTGCATATATATATATAAGTGAATGTCCTCATATATGTCAAACATTATATGTCAAATATTCTATTATTTATATATATATATGTCAAAATTTATTTCATATCTTCTATAAATGTGTATATATATATTACTTATCTTATTGCATATCTTGGTCAACCAACCAGCCCGTAAAGCCGTGCCTCGCCTTTCCTAGGACCCACATGACCCACATGCCGCGAGTTCTTTTGAGGACCAGGCTATCTGGTGGACATGGATGGGTCAGCAGCAAAACACTGCCCGAAATCCTGAGATAATGGTGGACCCTACTCCTAAATTACTGACCATCTAACTATCTATATAACTACTAAATGTTGAGGGTAATATCAGCAACAATATCTAAACATGGTGGACCCTACTCCTTTGTTTTAGTGGGTAATATCAGGAATTGTTGGTGGGCACATACCTAACTGGTATCCTGTGTTAGTAGGTAATTGTAGGTAATTGTAGGAGTTGCGAGTAGTGCAATTCTGTTGCTGATGTATTTTCCAGTCAATGTCAACCCTGGGTTGATAGAGCCTGGTTGATGAGTTAGTGGGTTACGCCAAAAGTGATACTTTCCTACTAAGATGATACCCCCCAAAGGGAGCCAGCAACCCACTACCTTTACAGTCTATACTAATGTCAAGACTTGTCCTTTGGATGTTGCTTTAGAATATGTCCTCGTGAAATCACATGGGCGCAACGGCTACAGCTCGCAATCAAGTAACTTGGAGGTTTATTAATCCAATGTTGAGACTATTTGGAAGTCGCTGTAGACCCAGTGTTTTTTCTTCACGTGGCATGTCAGGAAGCTCTCAGCGCCGTTGACAAGGAGACCGTGGTTCATTGTTGGGATGAGGTGGGTCGGACTTTAAGTCTCCTGGATTGGTTCCAGAGATTTTCTGGTTGGTTTTCTGATTGGTTTAATCCCATGACCCGTTCATATTCAAGACATTTAAAGACCCCATGGCTCTCTGGTCCCAATGGAATGTGGAAATTCCCAACAAAAAACCATGGTTTCGTTGAAAGGGGGTGTTTAATATGAACGGGGGAAGGGCTTATTTGTTTCTTATGGTTGTTTTGATCATATTTGGAATGATCACCAGATTCTGGTCTTCAATGGTTTTTATTGGTTCTTTTGATGATATGGAGGTTTCCTAAAAGGGGATACTCCAAACAAATCATCCAAGTCATGAACGACCAGTTTTGTATTGAAACCACTGGTGACTTGGGGCTCCCCCATTAAAAAAAAAAAATAAGACATGCCCAATATTTGGGATGTTCGGAAGATCCCCATCCTCAACTGGCGTGCCTTGTGATTCCAGCCAGGTTGGATGCAAAAAAACCGTTGAGAGGTTGATTTCAGACCTAAAAATGGTTCAGTGAAGTACCCTCTGGTAATTTGTTACATAGCTATTGAACATGGCCATTTATAGTGGATTTTCCCATTAAAAATGGTGATTTTCCATAGTTATGTTAGTTTACCAGAGGGTAGATGTCAAGTATGATGTCATGCTCTTTGAGATTCCTGCTTGTGCTGTTGTACCCCACTTAAAAAAAGGCGATACCTGGGCATCAAACCAACGCTTTACGTTTTTTTCCAACATGTTCTATGTTTTGTCTTGTTTTATGTGAAGTATACTCAGCTACATGTGGGTCATTGTTGGGGCATATGTTGGTAAACTGGTAAATATCTACGTATATATACCACCTGTACATTCTCCCATCCATCCACCCAAATGCATGAATCCATAATTCACTAAGCCATAATTATGATTCAATCCCAATTAATATAAAGCAATAATCCATATATATATATATATATATGGAGCATTTTGGGATTGAACATGCCAGAAGCGAGCTGCACAGGAGATGAGTGAAGAACACGTGGCAAGTGAGCCATGTCAGGCCGAGAGACGACTGATTCGTTGCGATTCATGACGATCAAATACCACGTGTCATACGCCATTAGTATCAGTACTGTGAAGCCAATAAGAAAGCTGCAATTTTGCATAAGTGGGTTCCCCCACCCATTTATGGCAATATTTGTGGATGGTTTATGGAGTTTATGGCTATGGCATTGGGTTTACTAGCCATTTTATTGTTGAGGGGTGAGAACTGGCCAACCTTTGGAGATGTTTTTTCAGGCAGACGGCGCTGCTCGCAGCGAAGCAAGTGGCGAAGCACGTGGCGAAGCACGCGAAGGAAATGCTGAGGAGGACGTAGACAAATTGGAGAAGTGTCATAGCAAAGATAGGAAGTCATTTGCTATCCCTCCCTCCTACGCACCAAAAATGTTCCAAATACCCAATGAGGAGATGTTTGGATCCCAAAAACTAACCCCAAAAACAGTCTCAGACTCGGTGTTTGACATCAAAAGGGTGGTGCTACTGTCATGTCAGCTAAGACTTAGCCGCTTAGCCTACAGTTGTGGCCCTTAAGAATTATAAATGCTATGAAATAACTCCTGCAACTAAGGTTATATATTATATCACTTAAATATACTTAAATGAGGTTATGAGCCAGTTATGTATATAATTATATATATACATATATATATACATATATATATATATATATACATATATATATATATACATATATATATATATATCTGTTGAGGGCAATAACTGCAGGGTCGTTGATTCGGTGAATTCCGATGGGCAGAAGCCAAGCCGATCATTTCTCTAGTCATTTCACAGTTTGCCAAGTGGAAAATCACCATCTTTAAATGGGAGTTCATGAATTTTCATGGGGAAATCTTTCAGTTAAGTTAACTAAGTTAACTATCAACAAATAGATTTTCACTGGGATTTTTCATTGATTTTCATCAGTTAACAACTTGCTGGTGCGTTTTACGCAGGGAATGGATGGCTTGGGGTTGCTGGGATGATTATAGTTAGCCAGTGGATCATTCCCGAAAATTCCCTGCGTTTAGCACCAGTAAGATGGTGGTTAACTATCAACACATGAGCCATTAAAAATACCCTGGTTAATTGATTGCTATAGGGGATTATACTACCTGGTTTACTGGAGATTATGATAACCCATAGTAGGGAAACCTATCAACCAAGTAGTATAATCAGATGGGATAGGGGTATTTTTTATGGCTCACATGGGGATTTCATGGATTTTCATGGGATCGATATTCACCCTCTGGTAAACTAAAATAGCTATAGAAATCCCCATTCTTAGTACAGTAGGTACATCATCGAACTAAATGGTCCATGGCTTCCATAGCAAACTGTTCGTTTACTGGAGGCTAATTTCTCCGGATACCCTGGCCAAAAATATGGTTCCGCATGTCAGGAACTGCCTGTCAACGATGCTAAGAATGACACGGACAGTCACAATCATTGAGCAGATTGGCAATAAATTCACGCAAATGAGGTTCCAAGAATTGTCAATATGGTCAACCGCACAAATCGCTGCTTCTGATAATAATGGGGTGTACTTCTTTGATCATTGGGCCTGCCTGATTTTCCGTTGTGATTTCCCCATGTTTACGCCTAACGAAAACCTTGGAAAGTCAAGTGAAATCAATGGTGGGCTCGGATGCCCATGGCATGGGATGGATGACCATGAATCATATACCATCATAAATGACATCTGTTGATTAATCCAAAAAATAAATGGTTATGTAAATCATCATAAACATCCATCAACATCCATACCATAAACCATATATCATAAACCATATATCATATATCATTAATTTATATTTCATAATCATTTATATCATATCAAGTTGATTTCCCCGTATCTATTCATGATGTATCTCACATTATGTGACCATAAATGGTGTTTGACCGGTTTGACCCTACCATCCCATGCTCTCCCTTCGCTTCAGGAGATGAGTGAAGACAACGTGGCACCCGAGCCTTTTCAGGTCGGCTGTAAGCTGTGGGAAGGAGTTGACCATGTGAGCAGTGGCTGCTAAACATTCAAAATGCCTACTTAAATGATTGTTAGACTGGGGATATAGCTAGTGGGATTTTCAACATGAACATATGGGGATATAAGTGGACGTGACTGATAAATGATGGTTGATAATCAGTTCGGATTATACTGCCATTTATCTATTGGGGGATCATTATAATCCTGGGATTTCCGTTCTTAACAAACACTGGTCATGTTGTCAGGCAGCAATTGCAGACCTGGCTTGGCTGGCGATTTGTTTATTTTTGCAATGGCAAATCCACCAGAAATGGTACGAAATGTTTCGAAATGGTACAGCATGTATAGTTATTATAGTAAATTTTACAGATCCACCATTTAATGTACAAACAATCTACTGTACAGTTATTATAGTTCGTATGTTTCTGAATGAGTTTCTTTAAACACATCCAAGCAGAGCTTGTCAAAGGTGATGTGCAGGTTGTATCTTTTCCCACATGTCCTGGCACAGAACATGTCAGGAAGCGCCGGTGAATGATGCCGAGAATGACAAGGACCGTCACAGTCATTGAATTCCCCTTTGGGGATCTAATTATTTGGATATTATATCCAGATTGGATCCGCAAATCGTCAACAAGAGCCAGGTTGTAAGATTGTGAGTATCCTATTCCATGGAACCCTATCTTAACGCGAAGCTCATTGGTTGAGCCGTGTAGGTTTGAAGCGTTTGGTGACGACTGGAGCTCTCAAATCATGCCTGTCGGAGCTCCTACGCTTTGTTATTGAAAATAGCCACGGACAACTGCCCACCCATGGATGAGTTATTTTGATTTAGCTATTGAAAATGGTGATTTCATTTTTTTTCCATAGCCGCTACGTTACATTACCAGAGGATAACTTCATCTCTGGCTTAGCTGGGCCTGGCCTTTGCAGGAGATGAGTGAAGACATCCTGGCAAGTGAGCCCCTCCAGGCCACAAGCTGGATATGCAATCGCACTAGTACCATACGTGCCATGGTCAAGTTATTTGGATTGTATACCAATAATATAATCAATTTCATAGGGAATGATATACCTATGATGTTAGGCTTCGCATGGCATGGGATGGATGACCATGAATCATATCCATTTGTTTGACCATTATCATTCATAATGCCCATATATATATATGTATATATATATATATATATTTCCATATATTAGGGATGTCCAAATCCCTTATAACCATGTTATATTTAATCCCGTTGGTCAACCATAACATCATATGGACCATATATATATACAAACATAAACTAGCCATGGTTTTCGATGACAAATGACCTGCCCGAAGCTTGGTGAATTCAGACCATGTTGCCAGGAAGATCACCTGGCTTTCAGCGAGGAAAAAATGGATGAGGACAGTGTTTCGGGCCCTGGGGGGAGAATGATCATTTCATGGTAAATGTATGTAAATGTTGCATGACCGAAGTTAGCCGGAAGTTATTGTGAAGTATTCTAATATCATTACCAACTTTGGTAATAATGTTATTGAAAAAGTTGGTCGTATTTCTTAGCTGGGAAGGTTGAGGACCTCATTCAGTCTGGTGAAGTCATTCACCATAAGTAGTGTCCGATTTTTGTGTAGCCGCGTAGCCTCTACCTCTAAGGAAACGGTACGGAAACCTGAGAATGGAACATGACTAACATGGTTAAAGATGGTGGGAAATGATGGTAGTGGTACCACTTAATAAGTGGATTAGATCGCAGTTATAAGTGGATTATATCCCTACTTATCCCACACATAAAATGGGATATACCCTCTGGTAATTTGGCATAGCTATGGACTATGGCACTATGGCCCATGTATGGATGATTTACCTAGAGTTACCCTAGAAGGTAAGAGTCCCCCCCCAATTACTAGGGCTTGTCATACATTAAACGAAACAACCCACCTGCTTGCCAATGGGTCAAGATTTCTCTTTTCAGTGGCAACCTCCCTCCCAATGGGGTGAGATGGTGAGATTGGGCATGGAAAATCCCTTCAAAATACAGTATTACTTCTTCAACCATCAGAACACATAAAACAATTAAACACTGATTATATCCTGAATCCTGACTACCACAAAATTAGGATTTCTAAGCAGGGTGTTGTTTTTTTGGGGGGTCGCAGATGTTTATTCATAGGGAGGGACAAACCCAAAATAGTATTGCCAGATTTTTCTTGCGGAATGTGGGTGTTGATTCCGGGATGATTATTAATATAAACTCAACATTATTCAATATCATTGTTTTCCAATGTTTTCCATACTTTATCGGATAATCCCACAAAGGTAACTGATTAGTAACCATAAGTGTAATCCATTTATAACCATAGTGGGATTAACTATAGTGGTTAATTTATCATATATAACTGTTATAACTGTTATAACTATATCATTTATAACCATAGTGGTTAATAAATGTTAATAATCCATAGTTATAACATGTTATTTACACCAGTTATATGTGGGATAACCCACTCATAGCTGCACTAGTGATCCTGGTTTAGACGTGTCTAAACCGTCTACGTTACAACGCGTCTCCATTTTTTTGGGGACCCCTACAAATGTATATAATATCGAGAATGTAAATATATGTAACTATTTGTATATATATATCAATATATATATATATACGTTATAATATATATATATATATAAATATATGTAACTATCCTGCTTCCACACTTTTTTCCCATAGTCCTTCCAGGACTCACAGCTTGCCAATGCTCGTTGCAATGACTCACAGCTTGCCGCTGAGGCCGTTTCAGTGGTGATGGATGGAGGAGTTAGCAACAAGAAATCGAGATTTCACCAACTAAAGTAATATCAGTAGTGATATATAGATATATATTATATATATATGTATGTATATATATATCAATATATATAGTTAACCAACATTTCCAAAGTCATGGGGTTACCCCAAAAAAATTCCTCCAAGTCATCAAAAAAGACCACCACTTAGTAGCCAGAAAGCTATGGTGATCCCGCAGAACTGAAGTGGATTTTTCCAAAATTCTGGGGCGGGGTGGAACTCATCAGTAAGTACAAAGTGGGGCCCCCGTTGACGATAGCTAAGTTGGTTTATAAGTGGCTGAATTCAATGGTTTATGGTAGATATAACGAACTAGTTAATGGGGATTATAATGGTTTATAAACCAACATATAACTGGGGGGCCCCACATTGTAGGAACTAATCAGAATCTACCTAGCCAAAAATGGAGATGTGAACCACTTGTTGGGTGTTCCAGGAGTTGACTGCTGTGGAAGATGTGGGAAGTTGCGAAGTCCAGGTGCGATGAACACGGCGCTGGTGCATGAATTTGGTGATCTCTGAAGCTGCTATAAGACTGAAAGTGGTTCGCAACTTGGAAATAAATAAATAAATAGATCAATAAATCTAAATAAATAAATAAATCTATCATATACTATATATATATATTATTTTGTTATTATATTTATTTATATTATAAATATATAGATATATGCAGTTATATATATATACACAACACGTATATATATATACACACCCCGGCAATCAAGCATGACAATGGGAAATCCCCCAATGGGCATTCAAATGGGCAATGTCCCAGCTACACGGAAGCCCAGTTGATGGTCATATGAGTGATTTACGGGAACACATGCTGGTAATTGCATGTGGTTTTGTCTGAAAATGGGGATAGTATACCAAAATTTAGTACCCTCTGGTAATTTGTTACATTGCTATTGAAAATGGCCATTTGTAGTGGATTTACCCATTGAAAATGGTGGATCTTTCCATAGTTATGTTAGTTTACCAGAGGGTAATTTCAATTGGGAAAATGATGATAAACCATTTAGGGGCACCCCATTTTCAGACACACTCATTGGTGGTTTTGTTCAAAAATGACTGACTGATGGTTCACCAACTAGACGAGGGGATGGAGCAAATTGCGTCTCTGAAAAGTCACTTGATGCAAGTTCTGGATTGATACTGGCAAAAAAAACTACCATAACTATGTACGGTGAATAACCTGGTAATTGAACACATTATACTTTTCAAAACTGCCTGACCTGGTAATTGAAAACAATGTGCCTTTTTTCCTGGGGGTACTCTGGTGATACTCATATGATCGGAGGTTGATGGTTGCTAACTGAATTATGATCCAAGACCCAAATCACGATGTAAAAGTAATTTTGATGTTTGCAGGCAACTCACCATATTTTTGTTGGTCCCCTCTGTTTGTTGGTAAAACCTCACTATGTCACCTTGATCACTGGATCTACCCTTCAGATTTATTTGCTGTGACATCCAAGTCTCATTTGTGTTGATAAATCAAACACGGTTGTACCGTTGGCAACATCTCCATTTCGCCGAACTTTATTGTTGATATTCGTTTATTTGGAAATCTCTGTTTGCCTATGGCATCCTATCTCTGAGTTTCTCTCATCCCAGTTTTTATTTGGGGAGTTCTTACTATGGTAGACACCAAAATCATCCAAACCCAACCATCTGGAAATCAAACGTGGCAATGGAAAATCCCCTATAAATGAAGGTTTTAATGGGAAAATCATCTATAAATGGTGGATTTCTAAAAAAAACATGTTTGATTACCGAAGGGTAGTCGTGTATCATTTTGAAACCACTGGTTTTTGGATTACCATATAGGATCCATGGTGCTATATATGCTAACATGACTGGGGTATATGGGATCGATGTTACCATAGCAGCACCGTTAGGATCCTATGGGCCATGGATTTCCCCAACTTTCAGAAACCACTGGATGTCTCCCAGTGAAATCACCAAGAGGTCGTCGAAGAAGTGGACTATGAGGAGCCTTCAACGGAAATGCGGGACGTGGTGCGTGTTGACGCTCCGGTGAACGTATGAAATCCAAGATGGCCAAGATGTGTATAAATTTACTGGTTGGTGGTTTGGACCATGAATTTTATGTTCCATTTCATATATGGGATGTCATCCTTCCCATTGACTAATATTTTTCAAGATGGTTGAAACCACCAACCAGTATATGTTGGATATTGGAGACAAACATCTGTATAAAATTCATATTGTCATATCAAAAAAAACCCATATCTTGTTGGGTGTTCCAAATTTGAGACGTTGTCCAATTTACCAACCCCTTTTTTTTACCCATGAAGTTACCAACCCCCCCAGGGCCCCCGTGAGTTTTTGGGGCTCCAGGATTCAAATCTTTCGGATGGAGAGCTCCTTGAGGTGCGAGTTTTGTCGAACCAAATTTTGTTGCTGTAAATTAATTGGTTCCCAAATAGTTCCCATTGTTGTATAGTAGAGGTGACTATAGTTCATAGATATGAATATTCTATTTAATTTGCCATTACTAGCATTGTTGTAGATAGAATGGAAACTATCAATGGGATAGGTATTGAATAGATGATCATGTGGAATTTATATAATTTATATAGTCCGAGTTTCGTAAATAGGTTCTCAACGGGATAGATGATATTGAATCATAGTGTCATAGTGATATCCTTTGGATCCAGCCCTACCTTCTTAGGAAGAAAGTTTTGTGGCCTTGATTTGTGGGGTGAAGTACCTTCTCAGCCTTTGGATCTGTAGGGATACCTAAGATTGATATCTAAGATTGACCGTGAGTTGAAGGTGGTGGAGGGGTAAACATGTCCCAAAATCTGTTGGAATTGTGGACCATTTTCAGACAGGTGAAAAATGATTGGAGCCCTTAAATGGATCTAAACAGATGGGTTTACCCTTTGGTAAACCAACATAACTATAGAAAATCACAATGTTCAATGGGTAAATCACCGAACTAAATGGCTATTTTCAATAGCAAACTGTTAGTTTACCAGAGGGTATTAAAATGACCAGCGATATTTCTGTGGTTCCCTTGGTACTCAGAAAACCAGGCTGAAGAGTCTCTTGTGAGCTCCAATCGCATCAAAAACTGCGTGCTTCGTAGATATCCTTATTATATATATATACACATGAATGGATATGCATTATAGATTTATTTATAGAACCTATCATATGAATGGATAACCTATATCCATCTATTATAGATACTATTCATTTAATTGATATCTATTATAATCTATAGGTTCTCTGAATCAATTGACAAGTTTTTTGGGTGGTATTTCTTCATAGTTCAGGTGGAGGATGAGACTTGGAGACAAGTTTCTCTTCGCATTACCGGTGAGCACTGGGCACTTTGGATTTTACTCGGAAAATCATCTACCCTCTGGTAAACTACCATAACTATGGAAAATCACCGTTTTTAATGGGTAAGTCAACTATAAATGGCAATTTTCAATAGCTATGTTAGTTTACCAGAGGGTATAATCTAGGAATACAAAAGAAATCCAGTGGAGGGTTTAGAAGTTCAGATTCTTAGGGAGGTCAAACAACCTTTTTTCTAACCTAGTCGTGGCCCATCATGGCGCGAGACATTGGCAAATTGATTGGAAACTCGATATGGCTCCTTGCCATCCGGAGGATTATTTGCCAATATTTCTGGGTAAATTATAACGACCTCACTGCGACCTCACTGGAATAATGGTTAGTATTGGAAATCATCCCCAAATGGCCTTAATTCAGGTTAGTGAAATATTATAATTTACCCAGAATATTTGGCTCTGCCATTGCGCCTGGTTTCCAGTAGATCTTCCCAGTGCCGCCATGTCAGGACGCAAAGTCGCTGGCAACTGACGCTGAATCTGAGGAGAATCATCGACTCAAGTTGCCCAAGAACTACAGCCTGGCCCAAAATTCAAAGCGTCAAATCATCATAGAATCCTTAGAATGCTTAGGATGAACATCTCATATTTAACTGTTCCAAAGTCGTTTTGCCATCAGCATGATATCCAGAATCAAAAATTGTCAGAATGTTCTGGCATGATTGATAATAGAAGATAATAGATAATCATAAATGCATGATACCCCATCAGAAATGAATGAACTTACTATTGTTCATGGCCCCTTCACTGTCAGAAGCTGCAGGATGAGGCTGCTTCAGCGACCTCCGCGGCCGAGGCAGTTACACTTTTTCGGGGTGTTTTTTGCTTCATGGATATGGGTATTACATGGTTTGCCAAAGGATAGTAAATGACCCAGATGCGAACCATGGTGCTGGAATATTTACCTACATTTTCTCGCTATTTTGGGAGGAAATGTAGGTAAATATGAAAAATACATGGAGCATCTGGGTGATGGTAAATGGATTGTTGTTAATGATTACAGCACCCTAAACGATAGATTATGTAGAAAAGTTGGAAACCTTGAAAGATGTATCAGATATCATCGAACTAACCACCTGGAAAAACGTTTCTTGGTTTTTGGGGTGGCTGTAGATAATTCAAAGTGCAGATTTGCCACAGACATGATGATCAAACGAAGAATTTGATGGGAATATCACGGGGATACCAAAGGTGATATGAATTGAATATTGTCCCCAACACTTTGACATTTGTGTGTTTCTGCAAATGAGTTATACAGTTATACCCCAAAAACAATTGTTGCGGCGAAAGTGATCGTTATCCAGTTGATGTAGGCATACTTCATTTTTGGACAAACCCATTTCATTATATAATTCTATATAATTCTATATAATTCTGGTTCTTCTGCTAATTATAGCTAGTCAGGTTTAATTCATAATTCTAGTTATGTTAATTATGTTTATTATCATCATCTATCGTGATCAAATGATGGTTATTGATCACTATGAATGACATGATTCTAAGATTTGGACGCCGAATCTTGCAGCAGCGCGTGAGTTTGCACGGGCTGTTAACGAAGCGCCTGGTGGTGTGCTCCGTCGACCTGGCGTCAAGGCCTCCACGGTATCGCAGTGATGTGGCAGACGGCTGTCTAGAAGTGCTCCATTAGCACGGACATTCAGCGTCCGCGCTGAATCGATTGGCAGCCGGACACGCACCGCCAGGTATTATGAGACAGCGCAGTGGCGTGCCAAGGTTCTGCGGAATCTGTTGGTTCTTTGGCTTCGCAAGAGTTCACAGGAACAGCATCAGCAACAAGCACACTCTCCGTCGGCGTCGTCCGAGCCGACAATTTGTGGTTCTCCGACAATTTGTGGTTCTCCGTCCTTTCAAGTGCACCGTATGGACGGCATGTTTCTCGTCACTCCAGGCGATGTGTCTGAGAAGGCTGTCTCTCAGACTCTCATTCCATGCAATCCTTTCTTGGTTTGCTCTTTTGACTGCTATCCACTTTTGTTTAAAAGAACCGTATGTTTGTTGCTTAGCTTTGCATTGAAATCATTTTTTCTCGGTGCTTTAATCCCCAAATCAAACCATCTTCAGTTCCAAAAATATCCCATCTTCACAAGTGGTTAGTTCTGGTGGGTTTCGTTTCCCCACTCAATTTCTTGGGGTAACCCCACAAGGTGAGGCCCCCAAGTAATAGACCATTGGTCTATAGACCCACTTAACGCCACTTGTATCACCCATAACTGCAATTGCCAAGACTGGCAACAAGGTGCTACCCCATAGCTAAGCTGGTTTTTAATTCCCATAACTTGTGTTTATTGTATACATATATATATATATACAGTATATGTATACATATAGTATATTATTTTATTTATATATCGAACTAGTATGAAGGGAGGGAGTTATTCTAAACCAACAACCTGTCACCCTGGGGCATTTTTTTCCGGGAGGTCAAGGGACAATGATCTCGTTACCAATTGGAGTGCTTTTTCTCCAAAGGCTTGAGAGAAACCTCCGTGAAATCACATTTTTTGTCAGTGAAATGATGAGAATCACCATTTAAATCATCATGTTTTTTTTTAAAGCTAAATCGCCATATTCTGTGATCGAAACTACAAGGTGGGGCCCCCCAGTTATAAGATGCTTTATAAACCCCATTAATTAACTATAGTTATAGGTACCATAAACCATAGTGAAATTGGAGTTATGTGCACCAACTGAACGCAATTTAGCTATAAGTATCATGAATCATAAACCATAGCTATTGGAGTTATTTGCACCAACTGAACGCTATCGTCAACGGGGGCCCCACTTTGTACACACCATTTCTATCTTGTCAGTTCACTCACCAAGGCCGAGGACGCCGAGGCCGAGGACTCCGAGGCCTCCGAGGACTCGACGTCCTCGAGCGCGAAAGAACGTTCCTTGGTGGCCGCTGGTGGCGGCGTTGGGCGGGTGACAAACCATGGTACCTATATAACTATAACAATGGTTTATGGTACCTATAACTATAGTTCATGGGGTTTATAAACCATATACAGTATATATATATACATATCTGGGTAATTTATAATGACTTCATTGTTCTCCCGAACCCTGGAATCATGGTTTATTCATGGGAAATCATCCCCAAATAGCCGCACTATTCAGGTTAGTGAAATATCATAATTTACCCGGAGATATTGTTTGTGGGTGATTGATGGTAATTACTTACTATGGAATTTGTGGACATGTCATGATGTTCCTATTGATTTATAGTGATTTAGAGTGATTTTCCGAGTGATTAATCGACTTGATAGGATCATTGTGGTTGATCTGAAAAGCGGGGATACCACCAAACCGTTTTAATTAACCATGTAAAATGATGATACAGTAAACCATAGGTTTTTAGGGTTTCCGATGTTTAATTATTTCCAGACAAACCCATTTTGCTTAGAGATTGGAATGTGCAACATATCTGGAACATTAACATGTTTGAAGTATCGAAATCGCTGTCCCTTTAGTCTTTGCGGACCAAGATCTCTGTGATATTCCAGAATTCGTCAGCAGTCGATAGAGAACCCAGGTTTTGCCAGTTGAATAACCGCCATCATTTTGTTTTTTTTGGGGGACGGACCTTCAAAAAACAATTGCAACAGGGAAAGTTACGGACCATTTTCGGGGAGTTTCAAGACTTGGATGTCCACGTTGCAACTGGGTCTGAACCATTCAACATTTGGGATTTTCCCTTGTCATACCCTCCGGTAATTTAACATAGCTATTGAACATGACCCATTTATAATTAGTTGATTTACCTATTAAACATTGAAATGTTCCATAGTTATGTTAGTTCACCAGAGGGGAACTTGCTACCACGCACGCCCTCTGCTAATCATGACAATGGACAATCCAGCATTTGGTAAGAGGATCTTCCCATTTAAATGTCCATGTATAGAAAAGTCCCGTCCATCCATGTTTGATTGCCAACGATGCTAAACTTGATTACCATTGATGACCAAGATAAATTACAGTGATAATCAATTGCCATTGATTACAGTCACATTTGCCTCTGGTAATTTGTTACATGGCTATGAAAATGGCCCATAGAAATAGTTGACTTACCGAACTTAAAGATGGTGATTTTCCAGTTCGCTATGTTAGTTTACCAGAGGGTAATTACCATTGATTGGCTTTCATTACCAACGATTTTCCCAGCAAAACTCTATGTAAAACGGGAAATTCCAAGCTAGCAATGTTTGACTACTGGAGGGTACCATTGCCATGTTAGAAAAACTGTTGATGATCATCGCTATAGTGATACCCCCCATTTTTAGATGGTTTTCCCATTGAAAGTTGTATCTATATACTATGATGAACATATTACACCATAGAAAATTATATAGATAAACACTATATATTTACTGTGATATGCTATGATATATATATATATAATTAATAAATATATATATATATGTATGCATCGTGTTTGGCAGGCACTGGGTGTGCATTATCATTAGGGTGAGTGTGTAAGTTGATGAATCCATTTTGGCTCAAGTCTGAGCCAAACTGGCTTCATCATTCTTCTTTTTGTTCGGGGTACCCACACCACTACTAGGGAGTCACCCTAGGGTAAGTGGTTATTCGTTCCTCTACTAGGGAGTTACCCTAGCGTACAGAGGTTACGGAGGTGGGAGATACCCCCCTGATGCCCAGGGCCACCGTTGTCGTTCGGCCGGGTTGGAATGAGGCTGCCCACACCGACGCTGAGATCCTTCACGCGGCGGCCTACTACGAGTTCAAGACCCACGTGGAAGGCCTGCTCCAGCGGGGCCTGGTGTCTCAAGCCACCAGGTTATGGTCCTCAGTGTGTCAGATCGACCATTTCCCCCCTCATCCCATTGGTTTGGGGGTGGAGGGACTTCCCCCTTTCAGACGGTCACCCTGCATGGAGGAAAACTGTAGGAGGTGTACCGAGTTTTTGGGAGGATTCAAGTTCCCATGGATTGGTACGTGGAACAGCTCAGCTGTCTTGGCTCTGCCCGGGAGTGACCCGCGGCTGGCGTGGCAGTCCTACTATGATCGCCTGGGCGAGGCGAAGCTGGACTTGCTGCTCATTGAGCCGCTGCGGACCCATTGGACAGCCAGGGACTTTGCGCCGGACAACATCTTCGGCTTGGTGGCCTTCATCGAGCACAATGCCGAGAGTATGGTCGACCTTGCCGAGCTGTGGGATGTCTGGAGGAAGTGGCAGTCCCCGCGCCGAGGATGGAGAGACCCATCCATGGTGCCTATCCCAGCTGACCTGGTTGCGTGGAGGGCACCACGGGCCAGGGCAGTGCGGTCGCTCTGGGGGTGGCTCGGTGCCATGGAGGCTGGGGAGGAACCCTTGCCGCCATGTCGGGCCTGTGGCATTCCGACCCCAGAACTATGTGAGCACTGTTTCTCTTCAGTGTGCAGTACCTGTCCACCCTCCCAGTGTCCAGGCTGTCACCCCAACTTGCATAGAGACCCATCTGCAGCAGCTGCGGCCTAGTGATGCATGTTTCGTACCTGGTGATACTGAGGTGAATTCTGCAGTTTCAGGCCCAGCGCGAACGCTCCAAACATTGGCAGCGGTGGTGTCGGGGGTTGCCATGGCATATCACCCAGGTGCCTACGCAGTTCAAGCTGCAGGTGATGCTCCGCTTGGCGCTGAGACTGCGATGGAACGGGTGGCCTCAACGAGGGTGGAGCAGTGGCGATCTCAATGGGGATTGCATGACAACACGGACTTCGCCTATGCCTTCGCATCATACGACAGCGCAGTGGCGCATGGAGGACACCATGTTGCCGATGCGTGGCTGCAGGCGCGTTCCAACATCATTGAAGATGACCTCATTCCGCAGGTGGCGGCAGTGGCAGAGAGTTCTGGATCTCGGGATAGGCCAGCAAGTTGGCCGGCTCCCAAGGCGTCGATGTTGAAGAAAAGCAGGATGATCCAGGCACTTCGCATCCGTCCAGGCCCAGATCAACCAGAACAAGTGCTGCTGAGAGCCGAGGCTTTGCGGAAAGCATTCTCCCAGGCCAAGGTGATGCGCCCTCAAGGGGAGCTGACCCCTGAGAGGTATTCACAATGGCAGGATGCCCTGGATACCCTGGCCAAGAAGAAAGTCACGGAGGCAGAGGGCGCCACAGTTGTGAATGCCCTCAAGTCCTGGGCAGAATTGAGGCATACATGGAACAGAAAGATCGTTTGTTTCCGCCTGATACTTTGGATCTTTATGGCTTTCTACAAAACGGCACCAATGGACCCTACAGGGCATTTCATTCTTTGAAATGGTTTTCGAAACATGGTCGCTTGCAGTGGGACTTCAGTGATGTGCCAGTGCCCTCAAGGAAGAATCCACCCAAGAAGGCAAATCCTGAGCAGGCAGTCGCAGTTGAACCGCCGATGATTGCTGCCCTGGAAGAGCGCATACAGGCCATGTACGAGGCAGAGGACCCACGTTGGCGAGGGTTGCTTTCATCATGGCTGGTAACCTTTGGTGTCTTGCGTTACAAGCACATCATGAGGGCCAGGCCGGTGAAGGTGACACCATCTTCGTTCCATGGGTTTTGCCCGAAGGGCAAGCAGCGGGCCAATCGGGGTGGATTCTCCTTCTGTATCCCCGCAACATTCGTGAATGGATGGGCTTGGGGAGCCGCCCTATTTCGGGACTATAGCAAGCTGACCAAGACCAAGCAGGCCACCTCAGGCCTCTGTTTCGATGCGGAGGGTACCGCATTCACCTTGAAGTATGTCAACGACTTGAACCGCGAGGTCTTCGAGCACTTGGTCCAGAACACAGACGATCTGTCGTCTTACTCTTGGAGGCGAGCTGGCCCCACAGTGGGATCACTGATGAAGCTGACGCCCCTGGAGTTATGTTCGCTTGGCGACTGGGCCGATCGGAGCCAGATCCCCAAAGAAGCGACGATGCCTATGCACTACAGTGCAGCCAGGTATGAACACTCGCTTCGGACCAAGCACATCATCAGGCTGGCCATGGAGAAGTTGTTGGCTTACGAGTCTTGGGAGACGATTCCGGAACAGAGCTTTGCGGAGGCCCTTGACTATGCGCGCCAGCAAGTCGACAAGGTCCTGAAGCAGGAGTCCCGTGTCATCTGGGCAGCCCCTTTGACCAAGGATGAGTTACAAGCTCGTTTTCAGTTGTCAGAAGCCCTCAAGCTCAAAGCAGCTGCCAAGAGGGAGGAAGCCCAAGCCAAAGGTGGGCTGACGGCTATGCCAGCTTCCCTCAATGGGAAGGTGCTGAGTGCCTTCATGAAGAACGGGGCGCCTATTTGTGGGGCATATCAAACGAAGTCCTGCCCGTTAGAGAAGGAATCATGCCCGGGTAGGCATGCATGTGCCGTGATGCGCAAATCTGGACGCGTCTGTGGAGGAGGACATCCAGCATGCGAATGCCATGACAAGAAGTTCATCAAGGTGGAAGAGATGCCGGGCGAAGGGACTGGTTCGGGCTCTGCGAAGGCTAAGCCTACCAGCAAGTCCAAGGAGGAGCGACCTCCTGAACCAGCCACCCCACCCAAGGCGCCAGCGAGGCGCCCTCGATCGCCACAGGGCCAACCGCCTAAAGCACCGCCTGAGAAAAAGGCGAAGGCAGCTCCAGCTACACCTGCAGCTCCTCTTCCAGCCCTGGTTTCGAGCTCTGAGGATGAAGAGATTGAAGTGGAGGAGGAAGACCTCCCGATTCCAGAGGCACTGGACACCCGGGGGCCTGACAGGAAGTTTGACAGGCTGGCTACTGTCCACGGCAAGACTGCAGAGAGCCCAAGCCTGATCTACCAGAACAGAGCAGGGGGCAAGCTGTGGCTGAGCGGGATTCCTACCAAGAATACTGCGCATCGCTTTCCGAAGGGAGTTACCTGTGAGATTGGCCCCAGTCCTTGTTTGCAGTTGCT